GGTTGCAGAGAGCCAGATATGACTTAGACAACAGCAAGACTCTTGAGAGTCCCTTGGACTGCATGGAGATCAGACCAGTCAATCCTAAAGGAAATCAACCCTGAATATTCATTGGAATACTGTTGTTGAAGCTGAAGCTCCAGTGCTTTGGCCACATGATGCAAAAAGCCGAGTCATTGGAAAAGACCCTAATGCTGTGAAAGATTGCAGGCAAAAGGAGAAGAGGGCGACAGTAGATGAGATGGTTGGATGGCATCACTGACTCAGTGGACATGAATTTGAGCAAACTCTGGGAGATAGTAAAGGACAGGGAAGCCAGGCATGCTGCAGTCCATGGGGTTCCAAAGAGTTGGACATGCTTCAGCAACTGAACAACAATATGTTCTTTTCATCAGTGCATTGTTAAACTAAAAGTGGAGAAGTAACATATTAAGGAGAAATAATGGGAGACCTATGTTTCTGAGTAGATTGAACAGCACAGAAATAAAGGGATATAGAAGATTCATGCAGTTCAGCTGTTTTAATCAGCCAGCCAACTTGCTGGAACAAGGCAAGGCTTCTGTTGAGAAAGATCCTGTGGAGTAGGCTTGTGGTTGCCAGTGACCTCTGTCTCATCTGGGGCTGCAGTAGGAAATTGCTTGTTCTTCATTTTCACTTTAGCCATGTTGTAATCCCCAGAATTGAAGTATTTTTGCCCTTTCTGCAATCATTTGCTTTAAAAATCTGAACCTCTAGGCTTTTGTCCCAGATGGTGATCCCTTGCTATTAATTCTACTTTTTCAGCTTTCTCTGGACTGGTCACTTTATCTTCCAATTCCTTCTGCTCCTCTGTGGAGGCTGCCTCAGAGACTTCCTCGAACATATTGCTCCCTCCCCCTTGTCCTGCTCTGCTCCATTTTAAATAAAGATGATATTACCACAAGAAGGGGAAATGATGGCTAGGTGAAATAGACAAATAATGTACACTGTAAGACATGCTTTAGCTCTAGTATTCTCCACCCCTGTAGAAAAGACAGATGTTGCTCACATCTATTGCTTGTGACACATTTCTATGGGTACACTCACAAAATAATGTCAGTCTCTGGTAGCTATCCATAAACTTCCCTTTCCTCCCCTGGAAAGCATACTGGAATGTACATATATTCTATCAAAGTGATACTATTACAGAGATAACATGAATCTTATTAATTTTAAATGTATCACTTGTAAATTTTGGTACTTTATTGTTACCGACAAATTTCTGAGACTTAAGTTGGAATTGATTATAACCCAAGTGTGTCACAATTGTTATACATTTGTTGGAGGAAGGGTCTCATTTTTGGTACCCCAGTACTCCTGAGTAATGTCTTGTCTTGATATCTTGGTAAAATTAACCTTCTTTCTTTGAGCACACATTGCCAAGTGACCAAGGCAGGCACCCAAGACAACGGGGGATGTCTACTGGATCAAATATTTTCATAATAATGCACCAAGCAGATAATTATACAGGAAATATTAGAAATACTGTAGATTTTCAATTAAAAATGTCTATTTTTCCCAGTGATTCAAGAATCCTGTTTTCTTTCTTCAGAAAATGTAAACTGGATAATTTTAACATAGAATTAATTAATTTTCTAGTCTCCCATACTGTACTAAGTATGAGAGTATATTGGGCCATGTTTCCATGGCATGTGGGATCTTAATTCCCCAGCCGAGGATCAAACCCATGCCCCCTGCAGTGAAAGCCTGGAATTTTAACCACTGGATCTCCAGGGAAGTCCCTATTAAGTGTATTCTTCTTACCTTTGTGTACTTCTGGGACAGAAGGGTCAGTAACAACTGAACTATTTTAACTATGGGAATAATGTCTGTTATTAAATTCCCAGCACAAAATTAATCACTTGGGTAAATTAACAGAGAGTAAAAGTAGCATTGGTATCATCCTAAAAATCAGTCTTTTTCTGTAAAACCACGTAAGATAGTTCCTCAGAGAAACTTGAAGCAGCTGACTTTCAGAGTGCATAAGCCTACGGTGTGGTTACTTAAAACCTGGAGAAAGCACTAGGCTTCCTTATTCTGCTTTCATTTCCCTTTTTGACATCATTCAGGAGATGTTTCCTCATCTGTGATGGAAGGGAGGCAGCAGGCTAGAGATTTAGTAATGTACTATTGCGGATTTCCTCTCTTAAAAAAAAAAAACAAAACTCTAGTTAAATGTGCAACAATAAGTATGCCCCATTTCAAAGGAAACTACTGTGCAAAAATCCAACTTAGAGGTTTAGAAGGTTGCAGGATGAGTTTCATTTTATAACATGCATTAAGTGTACACAAGGGTAGACTTATGTAATAACGTATTCCCCTAGTGTTTTTAAATAGTATGTTTGTTTATAGACCTATATACCAGGAGGGGAGCAAAAGAAGCAGACAAACCTAAGGCTGGCTAAAAAGCCTCAGAAGACACGGCCAAATGGGTGATGCATCAGGAGTGAAGAGAAAACATGTAGGAGATGATAATTAGAAAATTAATCCAAAAAATATTTATTAGTTTTTGCTTAAACATGTATTAAACAAAACAATACAAAGATAAGTAAGACAGGATTCTGTATTCCCAAGTCAGCATAATATGAAACAATCTTATGTGATGCAAATAGAGAATAAGTTCAGAATTGCATGGTACAATTTGTTTCTTAAAAGTATATAGAATATATGTGTATGTATAACTGAATCATTTTGCTGTACATCTGAAACTAAAACAGTATTGTAAATCAACTTGTCTCTAATATACAATAAAAATTACATTTAAAAAGTATATAGAAATGGAAGATGGTGAAATAGCCAGGGAAGACTGGGAAAGGCAACACTTGGGAAATAGAACTTGCAAGGTAGAGAGGCCAAGGAGTGGAGAGAGCCATTTCAGAAAGACACAAATGGCTGTGTGATGTCGGGGCTCACAAGACCAGCTTGACTACAGCAGAGGGTGAACATTTCTAAAAATCTACTCTTAACTGAGTAAAATTCTTAAGGATGGATCAGATTGCGAGACAATGCAGCAGGCTACAGAAAGCATTGGTAAAAATGGTGTGATGAAAATGCATTTTAGGACTTCCCTGGTGGTCCAGTGGTGAAGAATCTGTCTGCCAATACAGGAGACACAGATTCCAGTCCCTGATCCATGAAGACCCCACATGCTGCAGGGCAATTAAACCTGTGGGCCACGGCTTCTGAAGACTGCTTGCCCTAGAGCCCATGCCCTGCAACAAGAGAAGCCGCTGCCATAAGGAGCCCCAGCATCGCATCTAGAGAACAGCCCCCTCTTGCCACAACTAGAGAAAGACTGCACGCAGCAACAAAGACCCAACACAGTCAAAAAATAATAAATCAACTTTAAAAAAATGTGTCTTAAGTGAACAACTTGGTAGTGATGTACAGGATGAAATTGCAAGGTAGATTGGATTGAAGGCTGTTGAAATAATTTAAATCATGTCAGTACATATTTATTGAGTTCCTACTGTATCATTGCATTCTATACTGTGGAGGATACAAAAATGAGTAAGGTACACCTAATTTCTGTACTTAAGAGACCAACTGGTACATTTGTATGGCCCAACTGATATTTTTGTATGGCCAATACACAAATAATTATGAGATTAGACAGAGAATTATGAGAATGATTTTTCTGGTCTCAGAATCTATGAATTTGCCACAACAGAGCCTCCAGGTACTGTAGAGGCTCGAAAAGAGACATTAAACTGGGGATAAATAAAGGTGTTTTGGAACGAGATATCTTTTGAGATGGGCCATGAAGGAGAAACGGGATTTCGAGAGGCAGTGATGGGGAAAGGAAATTCCAGACAGTGAGAAGCAAAATGATTCGTTGGAGAAGTACTACTTTAAAACTGGGTTCAATCCCAGGTCAGCAACCAGGTCAGCAATCCCAGGTTCTGAAAGGCAAAATATACAGCCTCTCAGAACTTGAATTTCCCCTCTGTTGAGTGAAAGTGAGTGAAGTGAAAGTCGCTCAGTCATGTCCGACTCTTTGCGACCCCATGGACTACACAGTTTATGGAGTTCTCCAGGCCAGAATACTGGAATGGGTTGCCCTTACCTTCTCCAGGGGATCTTCCCTACCCAGGTCTCCCGCATTGCAGATGGATTCTTTACCAGCTGAGCCACAAGAGAAGCCCAAGAATACTGGAGTGGGTAGCCTATCCCTTCTCTAGGGGACTTTTCCGACCCAGGAATCTAACCAGGTCTCTTGCATTGCAGGCAGATTCTTTACCAACTGAGCTATAAATGAGGATAATAATTGTCCTACCTCACAGCAGTGAAAAGATTAAATAATAATATAAAAGAGTATAGCACATTGGAGAAGGAAGTGGCAACCCACTCCAGTATTCTTGCCTGGAGAATCCCATGGACAGAGGAGCCTGGTGGGCTAAGATCCATGGGGTCGCAAAGAGTCGGACACGACTGAAGTGACTTAGCATGCACGCATGCACATAGCACATTCACTGGCATATAATTGGTGCATCCAACAAACATTAGCTAGGACTGTTATAATAATAAAGTGTGGAAAAAGTGCAGAGGATAATAAGGATAAATGTCCTTGAAACATGAAGAAAGCTAGCTGCTTTGAGTGTAAGATTTATGTATGAGAAGAGCTGTCTTAGTCTGACTGCTATAATAAAATACCATAAACTGGGTGAACTATAAATATGTGTGTGTGTGTGCTTTGTCATGTCCAACTCTTTGCAACCCCATGGGATTGTAGCCCACCAGGCTTCTCTATCCATGGGATTTTCCAGGCAAGAATACTGGAGTGGGTTGCCGTGCCCTCCTCCAGGGGATCTTCCTGACCCAGGAAATGAACCCATGTCTCCTGCATCTCCAACATTGACAGGCAGATTCTTTACTGCTGATCTGCCTGGGAAGCTTATAAGCAACAGAAATTTATCTCCTACAGTTCTGGAGGCTGGGAAGTCCACGATCAAGATGCTGGCAGATTCATTGTCTGGTGAGGCTCCTTTCCTGTCATATATGGCTGTCTGTGAACACATGGTGAGCTGTGTCCTCCAAGATGAAAGGGGTAAGGAAGCTCTCTGGTCTGGGAATGTTCAACATAAACCTGCCATGGTTTGTCATATTAGAGAAGAGTCCATTAAAGAGCACTAATGTCATGCCAAATATAGGGACTCAGGACTCAGAAGCCATTTTTTTTTCCCCCAGAAGCCATTTTGAATGTTTTCACTCACCGCAGGTGGGAAAATATGAGAAACATTAACTATTAACTATAAAGCTGCATTGAATTGAAGCACATAAAATATGGCTAAACCCATGAATTCACAATGACACAAAAATAACTCAAAGGTTTGCAATGTTCAGACTGTATTTGGAACTCAGAACGAACTATTTTTTTTCAAGATAGGGAAATATAAATACTGACATGTTTGAGAATATTAGATGTGATAATGGTATTGGAATTTTATTTATTTCAGAGTCTTTATCTTTTAGAGATATACAGTGGTATATTTACATGTGAAATAATCTGATGTCTAGTATTTGGTTCAAAATAATCTGGGTAAGTGGGAAGGTAAATAAAGCAAGATTGGCCACATATTGATAATTGTTAAAGCAGGATAATGGTCTCATAGGGCTTACTTTACCATGTCGCTATGTTTATTTATGTCTAATTGTCCACAATAAAAGTGTTGTTTTTTTTTTTTAAAGCTAGATGCGTATAGCTGATTTTGCTGTACAGCAGCAGCTAACACAACATTGTGAAGCAATTATACTCCAGTAAAATTTTTAAATAAAAAATAACCATAGGCATGAAAATGTCTACTGCAGATAAGAATATTCAACATTGTAATGATCTTGAGTCTCCACAAATTTATAATATGTGTATTGAACGTATTTATGATACATATGTCTTCTCTAGTGGCTCAGATGGTAAAGTCTACTTGCAATGCTGGAGACCCAGGTTTGATCCCTGGGTGGGGAAGATCCCCTGGAGAAGGGAATGGCAACCCACTCCAGTTTTCTTGCCTGGGAAATCCCATGGACAGAGGAGCCTGGTGGGCCCCCATTCTTGGGGTCACAAAGAGTCAGACAAGACTGAGCAACTAACACACTCACTCACTCATGATATATATAGTAATTCAATATAAATATCAATTTAAATAAACACTCTGACAAATTTTCAGAAAGCTTGATAAACTGATTTTTAAAACTCATGTGGAAAAGTTAACAGGCACAAAACATTAAGACAACTTCAATAAAGAAGAATAAACATAAGAGTGACCTACCCTGTTAGACATCAAAACATATTCAAAGCTATTTGAATTAAAACCCTGTGTTATTGAAGGGGCAATAGGAAAGAGAATGTATTAGTGAGCTCAGAAACTGACCCATGTATAAATGGGAATTCTCATCTGGGTGAGATTTAGACAACAGTAGATCATGGATGAGTTGCGTTAAAAAGAATAAAGCAGTTTTTCCTAAGAAATCATGGAGGAAACTAGGAGTTCAGGAGCTTAATCCTAATCTCTTCATAACTAAAAATTTCCATCTGAAAGTTGCTGTTTTTAGGTAAATTGAATAATAAAAATGATGAGAGTTTGAAGGGTAAACTTGTACTCATGTTATTTTGCTGAGTTTGTTCTATTGATCTCTTTTACTGGGGGCTCTTTTTTGTTGGTTTACTGTACCCACTTTGTCTCCAAAACCATAGTGAGAGAGCTGGAGGTGGCACACTTACTTAGATTTTAAATGAAACTGAAATGAAAGTTCACTTCCTCATTGTGGATGCCTCATGTGACAAGTTCCAATTTCTTTTTAAAGTCACTTTAGCTAAGTCTCACTGCTGCCTTTGAAAGCTTTGGAGAGAGCCCACCATCAACATTCTTAGTTTGGGAGCACCTGCTTGGTCTATCACGTATGTACTGTCTGTTCTTTTTCTCCTGCTTGGTCCTTAAACCTTTCATTGGTGTTTTTAGCTTGCTCTGCCTGCCAGGTTTTGCATCGTTTCTTTCAGGAAGTAAACTAAACAATCATTGTCGCTCAGTTTGCCTCTTATTTTTTTGACTAAAAAGAATCCCATTTTTGAAAAGTTCAGTGTCGGCTTGAATATCTAAATCCTGAGGCTAACACATAGCTTTCTTTGGACTATAATTTGAAGATTTATATGGTTAAAAATACAGCTGTTTTGTATTTAAAAGAAGTGGAAAAGAAAGTAGAATCCAGTTTGAGGGAGTTAGTCACTGAATTTCTGTTACAGTCTCTTTGTATTAAGTAGAGAATTTACATTTTCAAAAGTAGTTAACACTTCTTTTCAAGCAGATATTTTGATTTTTAGGGACAAAAAGGTAAAATGATCCAAGGATGTGAAAGTAGTACATAGGAGTTGTCTTTTAACTACCTCTGACAGTTGTGGATATTTGAATGAACCAGTTAAGAAGAGCTTGTGTATTCAAAAATTGCCAAGATAAACTGATTTTTTCAAAGTTTTGCGTTCTTCTTAAATATTATTAGTATTTTGGAACAGAGAAAAGAGGATTTCCCTTGATCAGATTTGTTGTCAAATCCTGTAAAGTCCCTGCTTCCCTCATCTCCACATCCTCCCAAATTTGGATATAAATTTGGTTTACCAGATATCAGGAAATTTTTTGAAAATCAAATGCTGTTTAGAATTGGAAGTGGCATTGCAGACAAAAACCTGCAGTTACTCATTGTCACTATATAATCCAGAAAGTTTCCTGCATGATTCTGATTTGTAACATTCTGTCTCTTTGACAGACTCTGCATTGCTTCTTGTTGTTGAGAAAAAAGTACGGTCACATTAGATGCAGCTAATGTTGAGTCTTCCTATGTCATCTTTCCTTTAACAGAATGAAATGGCTGGTGTGGGCACTCCTGCTGGGCTCGTCTGCAATGGCACAAGTGCACAGAGATCCCACTCTGGATCATCACTGGGATCTCTGGAAGAAAACCTATGGGAAACAATACAAAGAAAAGGTAGATGGGCTGCCATTTGAGCAGTTTGCTTTTACTCAAATACCCTACATGTTCTTTTAAAAAAATTTTTATTTATTTGACTGCACCAGATTTGGGGGCTTCCCAGGTGGCTCACATGGTAAAGAATGCACCTATAAAGCAGGAGACCCGGGTTCAACCCCTGAGTTAGGAAGATCTCTTGGAGAAGGGAATGGCAACTCATTCCAGTATTCTTGCCTGGAAAATTCCATGGATAGTATAGGAGCCTGGCAGGCTACAGTTAATGGGGTCACAAAGAGTCGGACACAACCGAATGACTATCACCAGGCCTTACTTGCAGGATGTGAACTCTTAGTTGCAGCATATGTGATCTAGGTCTCTGACTAGGGATCGAACTCTGCCCCACCCCCACCCCCTGCACTGGGAGCATGGAATCTTCACCACTGGACCACCAGGGAAGTCCCTCCCCTATATACTTTGACAAGCAGTGTCTTAAATAAATGTTACACACTCATTTTCTTGCCAGATTCTGTTCTTGGCACTAGAATTTCATCAGGAAACAAAAATTTCCTATTTTTAGGGCACTTATATTCTAAAAGGAGAAATAGGAAACAAATAAATAAGCAGATATATAATGGCGATGAGTTTCAGCAAACTCAGGGAGATAGTGAAGAACAGGGAAGCCTGGCGTGCTGCAGTACATGGGATCGCACAGATCTGGACATGACTTAGCCATTGAACAACAATGTGATGCAAACAGTGGAAAAAATAAAAAAAGACTTAGGGGGTTGGAGGAGGGTCTTGGGTGATGGCTGTGAGGGGTTGGGAGTGATTATCTTACACATGTGACAGTATGGTCAGGGAAGACCTCAGATAGGAAGGTCCCAGGCCAAGAGGGAAAGAGTGCACGTTTGAGGAACTAAAAGACCTGCTGTCAGTCCCTGGCACAGAGAAGCAATGGCAGATGTTATGTCTTGACTCTCACTTCCCACTTTGTGCTTTTGTTTTTATTTCTAGACATACTTCTTGATTGAGTTTAATACTTAGCCCTGGTGCTTCAAATAACTAAGTCCTAAAACTATGATGATTTAGTCGCCAAGTTGTATCCGACTCTTGCTACCCGATGGACTGTAGCCTGCCAGGCTCCTCTGTCCATGGGATTCTACAGGCAAGAATATTGGAGTGGGTTGCCATTTCCTTCTCCTCCTAAAACTATAATATATGAGTTTTTAAGCAAAGATTATGTATAAATTTATTTATTTGATGTATGATTTTTGTATAAAAATGCCCTGAGTTGTTTTCTTAGTAGTGATGAATTTCACCCTCACCCTTTCCCCTTTATGAGGGAATTTCAGGCCTCTAATTTCCATGTTAACCACAGTTAGATGTGCAATTAGCACCACTATCTAGTTAAATGAATGTTATCTTACTTTTTAATGACTCTAGTCCATCAGGAGGAGTGAAAGTGACTTTTGATTAGCACTCCACTATTAAGATCTATCTCACAGTTCTCCTCTTTTTTTTCCCTTTCCTGTACTTCATTAGATTTATCTTTATTTTATTGTTCACTCTAGTGGTTTGGAAGTATATCTGTATATGTCTTTTACTAGGATAACAGTAAAATCTTGCTTGAAGGCAGAGGGACTGCTTAGACTTACTACCTAGACTTACTGCCTAGAACCAGTGCTTAGGCCTGGGTTCTAACACTCAATGAAATTAGGGAGAAAAGAGTTGTTGCTGACTGTTCACTGGGCTATGGCTTGTTGTAAACTATGGCTTTGTGGGTGGAGGTGAGGGTCAGCAATTCTAAGAGGCACCATGTATATTGCATTCTATGTAAATTAAGCTCCTGGAGGGCAAGGAAATCAATAGCCTGAATATGAATTTATGCTGGATAAAATTAAGATAATAGGACCAAACTTGTTTTTAAAAGTATGAATAATGGAATGATATTTACATGAATGAAAAAGAAATTGTGAAATGTATTAGAAATCCAATTAGAAACCTCAGAAATGAAAAAAAAAAGTCATTGAAATAAGAACTCAATAAAAGGGGTAAACTCCAAACTGGAAAGAGCTGGATAGAATCAGATCTGGCATCCACCAAGAAGACCGCACACAAAAATAAAATGGGAAAGCTATGAAAATGCGGGTAAAAGAGATTAAAGATATATTATCTAGGGTGAAACAGATCACCAGCCCAGGCTGGATGCATGAGACAAGTGCTCGGGCCTGGTGCACTGGGAAGACCCAGAGGGATAGGGTGGAGAGGGAGGTGGGAGCGGGGACCGGGATGGGGAATACATGTAAATAAATCCATGGCTAATTCATTTCAATGTATGACAAAAACCACTGCAATGTTGTAAAGTAATTAGCCTCCGACTAATAAAAATAAATGGAAAAAAAAAAGAGAGAGATTAAAGAAAGTTTGAGGCTCCAAATCCATCTGATGGAATGATGATGCAGAAGCAATATTTGAAGAGATACTGGTTGAGAATTTTCCAGATACGGAAAAAAGAATGTTCCTGAATCCTCTAGTCAAAAGAGCTTTTCAATAAAAAATACTACACAGAGGAAAATAAAGAAACCCATATCCACAAACATGTAGTGAAGCTGCAAAATATCAAAGAGAAAAAGAAAATCGTGTAAGTTACCAAAGTTAGAAACATTACAACAATTAGACTGACAATAGACCTCTAATCTACAATAATAGATACCAGAAGGCAATTCAGAAATACCTTCAAATAACTGAAGAGAAACAGCTATAAATTTATAATCAGACTAAACTATTTTTCAAGAGTGAGGGTAGGGACTTCCCTGGTGGTCCAGTGGCTAAGACTCCCTGCTCCCAATGCAGTGGGCTCCAGTTCAATCCCTGGTCAGGGAACTGGATCCCACATGCCATAACTAAAGATCCCACATGCTCTAACAAAGATCCTACAGGATCTTCTAAGACCTAAGACAGAGTGCAGCTAAATAAATAAATAATCAATTATATATATATATATTTTAAAAGATGTTTTAGAAGGCTTATAATGATTAAGTGAGTTTACCACTTACAAAGAATGTACTTCAACAAATTGCAATTTCTTTTATTTTTCCCCATTTATTTTTATTAGTTGGAGGCTAATTACTTTACAATATTGTAGTGCAATTTCTAAAAAAAAAAAAAAAACTTTCTAGCATATTGAGGAAGTTCATTGTACATATCTAAAATGATATTAATCACCAAGACAGCAATTATGAGGAAGAGTTAAGATTGGTGTGCAATTTTTCCCAGTTACATTTATTTATTCATATTCATTTATTTGCATGCTCCCAGACAGATCCACATTTAATGGAATGCTTCATAATATGTATATTTTCATTATTGAACACATTTGTGCAGGATTCAGTATAATGACGTTTCTTTTTTATTTTAGAATGAGGAAGTAGCACGGCGTCTCATCTGGGAAAAGAATCTAAAAACTGTTATGCTTCACAATCTGGAACATTCAATGGGAATGCATTCGTATGATCTAGGCATGAACCACCTGGGAGACATGGTAGGTAAATTATAATCCTATATTCATCTTTGGGTAAACTGGATTTCTGTCTCCCCAAAGGCAATTTGAAGGTAAACAACAAAGGAATGTTTTATATGTATATGAACATAAAATTAGAAAATAGAATTTAAGGACATAAGAATTTACAGATTGCTTATTGATCTACACTGTGACCACTTTCCTTAATATATCCCTTCTTTAGGGGAATATTTTATTTTTATTTTTGTTTGTTTTAGGTGTTTTTTTAGGGGAATATTTTAAACTCACAGACCACCAGTAATTTTACTTTTATGAATTCTAGAAAATATTGCCTAAAGACTACTCACAACATTTTAGAATACGTCACCATACTTATGTAAATCTAAACTGATAATTTAATATGGTCCACCTGTTTTCTTAATGGGGGAGTGTGGGCATTAATATAAAGTAACCTTTCATTAGTTATTAGACTCTGCTCTATCTTAGAAAAAATTTTCACTGTGGCCAAATTAAGAATCATGGTACCCCTTGGAAGGGAACACCCTAACTGGATTAAATGCAGGAATCTTATACAGTTCTTTCTCATAAGCAAAACCAGTTTAGTCCACTTTTTAGAGAACCCTTCTTATAAAATTCTGCCCTGCTTTGAAAGAAAAATAGGCCTCTCTATAGCTTTTAGTTTTTTATCTTTTCTTCTTCTCCTTCCCAATGTCTGACTGGGATGCTAACGGCAAAGTGTAGGACTAAAGAGACCTGGATAATTCACCTACCAGATAGTTACCTATGTTAATCACAACTACCACTAGTTTTTCTCAGTTGTTAGATATATTCACAGTTATAATTTTCAGGATATTGACCAGAAGGATATAAGTGAAAGGACATATGTGTATACCTTTGTAGACCAGTGAAGAAGTGATATCTTTGATGAGTTCCTTGAGAGTTCCCAGCCAATGGCCAAGAAATGTCACTTACAAGTCAAATCCTAATCAGAAATTGCCTGATTCTATGGACTGGAGAGAGAAGGGGTGTGTTACTGAAGTGAAATACCAGGTGAGTATTATCATCTTAGGTCTCTGTACGTCAGGTAGAGGTCTCTCTTCCTTAAATATTTAGTCTAGCTATATCATTTATCAGTGACTCTCATAGTCCCTTAGGTTATTTTCTAAATATGTTTGCTATTCTTATCTTCCCAACTACACTATGACCTTCTGAGGAGCCTGGACCACACATCATACTTTTTTTATTTCCCATAGTGCTGAGAATACCAACAGTTAGAGTCATATTTGACTAAGCAAAAAACTGTGAACTTAGCAAATGGGTCTTTAAGAAAGACTTTTAGTGTTCTTACTATCCATCAACTGCACTGGACCCTTCACCATTCAGTTACTTGAGAAATAGTATCATATGTGTGAGAAAATTTCAATCAAAAAGTTTATTCCTCCATCTCACTTAGGAATTTCAGGATTGATAGAGAGGAAATAACTAAAGCTAAATGTGACCAGTAAATTGTACCAGTCAAGTTAGTTTTGACTAGGCTTACATTGCTAAGATAAGAAATATGGGCTTTATAAATGTGTCCCTATATTTTTTTAATTTCCTTTAATTTGCTTATTAAAAAAAAAGCTACAAAAATCCTAAACTAATTAGGGATAACTAGACCATTCAGGTATGACCTAAATCAAATCCCTTATGATTATACAGTGGAAGTGAGAAATAGATTTAAGGGACTAGATCTGATAGACAGAGTGCCTGATGAACTATGGATGGAGGTT